CCCTAAGCCTGCAGCAGGGAGAGGGCTGTCAGTCTCAGAGCCTGCAGACCTGTGGTACCAATGAAGAGAAGAGGAAACACCCTATTGACACTTTGGGTCCCTGGAGTGAGCCAAACCTAAAGGCAATTCCACCTCAAGTTTTAGTGTAACACGAACCCACTATAAATGTGCTCTCTTAACATGTTTATCAATATTCTGATACATTTAACATATTAACATGTCAATATGCAATTATATTAATTATAAATAAAGTATATATTAATTCTATATTTATGTGATATGATTATTGTATTGCATATTGATTGTATAATATATAGTTAATAATATATTTATTATATATAAATCGTGTTAATTATAACTAAATTAATTATTAATATATAACAAAAAAATCACACGTTTGAACTGAGTGTCTCTTGTTTACAGCTAATAAAACCCCAGCTACATAAAAGTAGATGTCTACATTCTTTTTTTCGGGGGGTGGGGTTCGGGACAGGGTTTCTCTGTGTAGCTTTGGAGCCTATCCTGGCACTCGCTCTGGAGACCAGGCTGGCCTCGAACTCACAGAGATCCTCCTGCCTCTGCCTCCCGAGTGCTGGGATTAAAGGAGTGCGCCACCACTGCCCAGCAATTCTTTTAAGTGTTTTTTTGGATACAGTTACCCTAAGAGAGGATATCTACCCATAGTTATTTCTATAGCAAACCCCAGGGAGGCCATTGAAAACACTTCTACACGGTGCTGGATAGATGGCTCAGTGGTAAAGACCACTCGCTGATCTTGCAGAGGACCAGGTTCAATTCCCAGCACCTGCAATGCGAGGCTCACTGGCCCCCGTTACTTCAGTTCCCGAGTACCCAGCGCCCTCTTCTGGCCTCCGTGGGTACTGCATACCATGCAGTACTCGTACAGACACCTATGCGTATGTGCACACACACATAAATAAATTAAAAAAAAAAGAACGAAACTCTGGGTTCTGGAGAGATGGCTGCTCTTGCAGAGGACCTGGGTTTGGTCACAAATCTCCATAACTCCAGTTCCGGGGAATCCAACACCCTCTTCTGGCCTCTAAGGACACCTGGCAAAGACACTCACATACACAAGATAAAGTACATCTAAAAAAATAAAAAATAAAATCCCTTTAAAGATGGTGCGGTGGATATATTCTGCGCATACACCCACAGCGGGCTTTAAAAAGAGAAAGGAGGACACTCGTACCAATTTACAATTGACAAGGAAACTTTCAGATGATCAAATTAGATAAAGGCAATCATTTTATGCGTAATAAAAGAGTCAGAATCGGGTTTTTAACTGGCATTTATTGCGTGATTATTATATGCCTTGCGTGCCTGCTGTTTTACACATGTCATTTAATGCAAATTATAATAGTTCTGGATCTGTTTGTATTGAATTAGACAGCTACTGAGTACAGGAAGTAAATATTATAAAAAATATACTGGTAAATCAAAATAACAGGTGTCTCAGTGCAAAGTCACGAAACAGGTGAATCTAGGGAGAGTCACTGATGGGTCGGAGTTGGCTGACATACATAGTTCTCTATTCTACACAGACCAGATGCTCCCCCGACTATCCGTGAAACAGTTACAAAGGCTGGGCATGTCCTCCGCCATAGCTGAAGCTTTGCAAAATGTATTGGAAGCAAATACATTACAGTTTACATTAGCAGAGCACACAAATTAAACAACTTTTTCTTTTTGTGTCGGGGTG